ACTATGGTAGTCAATGGGGAATGAGATCTGTTTGATTAAAACATTCTTCCAAATATCTTCCTTTGTGTTCAGCAGAACAAACAAACACATAGAGGTTTGGAACAACATGAGGGCGAGTAAATACTGACAGAATTTTCATTTTTGGGTGAACTAACCCTTTAAGTAGTGTTTGCACCTGGTTAGGACACAACGCTATATATGCAATTAATAGAATACCCATTGTAATTTGTATCTGTGTGTGTGTATAGTGTTTATTCAGGCCACCAGTCAATCCTGATCCCTCCCTCGGAGCTGGAGACATCTCTGCCCCTGTGGCTGAGCACGCTCAGTCAGTATAAGATCAGAGACACCTTCTGTTCATACTCGGTCATGGAGCTCTGCACCAAGGGCCTTGGCACACAGACTGAAGCTCTAAAGGTGAGTCAGCAGGATACAGATTCACTACTGGACAAAAGTTGTGGGTCGGTTTGGTTTTTTGCTACATTTAGAAAAGAAAAGGCTCTAATGCTAACCAAGAATGTATTTTTGGTCAAATAAATCTAGTAATGTTACACCTGAGGCTGTGTTTCGGTGCATTTGTGCGTGTCTCTCCCTCCGTTGTTTCCTGTTGTCTCTCACCCTCTGGGGATTTTTGCGTTACTCAGACGTAACAGTAAAAACCACAATAATGGGAAACTGTATGTGCCTCACTTCCTCATGTCATTCTGAACCCGTTTGACTACAGTAGAACACGAAAGGTGTATTTTAAGAATATACAGCTCATTGTTTTCAGCTCCACAAATATGAAAAAGTCTTCTGATACCGATAATAAGTTCGACAAGATCGACCTAGCCGAGTGATTCACTTACAAAAAGGAATGATTCAGTTCTCATGGCTTTAGAAGAATTGACATTACACACAAGTCACATGTGCCACTTTTATAATACATTTATGGTGCTTTTGCATCAATTCTGAAGCAATCTCCATTTACTGGAATTGAACAATCAGCAAGTTGAAAAAAAGAAGAAGAAAGAAATCATAGGGGTTCGGAATGACACGAGGGTGAGTAAATGATGACAGAATTTTAAAAATAGTGTTAATAATCCTGTAATATTGAGGACAACAGACAGAAAGGGATGGTAATTGTGAATGAAGTGTGGACGTGTCTATAAAAGCTGATGGGAGATGTATGTGCAGGCTCGCGGCGTGAACCTATCGTGTGTAAGGAGCTGTGTCGTCATAGCCGAAGAGAGGCCTCGTTTGGCTCTCACGCAGTCGTTCTCCAAGCTCTTCAAAGACCTGGGCCTGTCTCCGCGTGCAGTGAGCACTGCTTTCGGCGCCAGAGTCAACTTGGCAATCTGTCTACAGGTTGGGCCAATAAATATATTATATCAACTGTGTCATGACACAAAAGCAAAGCCTTATTTTGATTTCCGTCTCCTTCCATCAGGGCACTGCTGGTCCAGACCCAACTACTGTTTACGTAGACATGAAGTCCCTCCGTCATGACAGGTATGTGTGAGATGGCAGTGATGATATGAAGGCAGTCAGTACATGCTTGCATTGTGACGTTGTCCTTCTTTCTCTGTCACAGAGTGAGACTGGTGGAGAGAGGAGCTCCTCAGAGTCTGCCACTCATGGAGTCTGGGACTGTAAGGCTATCCTAGTTCTAGTTCTGTCCTAATTAATCTTCAGTTCTGGGTAGATTACTTACTAATTATAGTCTGTTACTTATTACTAATTACATGATGAAAATTGTGGTTAGTATTTTAACGTGTTATTTTACAGATTTTAAGTAATATATTCTATTATTTTGATTAATTTTAGATTACTTTTAACTCGTTTATCACATTGATTGGATTGTATCATATTCACATCAGAAAATATATTCTATTTAAAAAATATACATAAAATTATAGAGAATGAGATAATATATTCCAGTTTCATCAACAACATGAAGGATCCCAAACTGCAGGGTGTTCATGAATTGATGAAAAGTAAATAATATATAAATTAAAGTGTGTATATATATATATATATATATATACACACACACACGCACACATTTTTAAATCAAAATAGCATACATGAAAAAAAATACAGACACCAGAGTGAACATGTAATCATCTAATCATTAAAAGTAACTGTGGAATGAGTATTTTAATCTAATTACAAATACTCCCTTTTAGGAAAATGATTACATAATCAGTTACTACCCACCGCTTATTTTTGGTTTATCTTATATGGTTATTATAAGACATATCAGTCATCCCATATTGGTTTCTTTGCCTTACCTCAGATGCTTCCTGGAGTGAGAGTAATCATTGTGAACCCGGAGACAAGAGGACCATTAGGAGACTCTCATCTAGGCGAGGTAAACGCACTTAGACAACTTGTTTCAGTGATGTACATTTCTCTATATTGGAAATTTCTCCAAATTCTTATAATACTTCATCACTTTTTCTGCTTTTTTTCTAGATCTGGGTGAACAGTCCTCACAATGCCAGTGGTTACTATACCATCTATGGTGAGGAGAGCCTGCAGGCCGACCATTTCAACACACGACTGAGCTTTGGAGAGACCGAAACGCTTTGGGCCAGAACCGGATATCTGGGATTTGTCAGGAGGACAGAGCTACTGGATGCAAGTGGAGGTCCGTAACTAGCGATTTAAAAGATTGGCGTCAGAATTTTGAAAGAAATTTATACTTTTACTCTCCAAGGAAGCATTACATTACAAGTGTCAAAATTGACAGTAAAAACGTTTACATTGTCACGAAAAATTTCAAGCAAATGCTGTTCTTTATGGAAGCTTGTACCCAGCACAGAATTTTTATCTCACAATTATGACTTTTTATTTCAGAATTGTGTGTTATAAAGTCAGAATTGTGAGATATAACACGCAATTATTCATATCACTCATTTCAGATTTAATATCTTGCATTGCTGAGAAATAAAGTCATAATTGCGAGAAAAGTCGCAATTATATTTTAAAATGTTTTATTCTGTGGTGGAAACAAGCTTCCATAGCTCTTTTTCATCAAAGAATCTGCAAAAATATTGTTTACAACATTGGTAATAATAAATGCTTCTTTTGCAACAAATCAGCATATTATAATGAAATGCTGAAAATTCTGATTCTAATCACTGAAATAATTTAAATTTTAAATATATTAAAACAGATACGTTATTTTTAAAATTGTAATATTTTACAATATTACTGTTTTTACTGTATTTTTGAACAAATAAATGCAGCCTCGGTAGGCATAAGAGACGACTTTGTAACTTTGTAGAACAGTAGTTTACAATTTTCACACATACTCTAAATAGAAGAAAAAGTTTTAGCAGGACATTTTTTACTTATTATAATTACACTGGATATTCCAAGAAGCTAAATTCATAACCAAATGTCACGAAAAAATGGCATAAAAATATACATTGCATTCTCAGAAATGGTACAATATAGTGCTGGTCCACTGTCTCACCTTTTCTTGTGGTTTATCATCCACCAGATCGCCACGATGCTCTGTTTGTGGTCGGTTCACTTGATGAAACACTGGAGTTGCGAGGTTTGCGTTATCATCCCATTGACATTGAGACTTCTGTGTCTCGGGCGCACCGCAGCATCGCTGAGAGGTGAGAACATTTACGCTTCCTGTCTGCACGTATCAGTCTCTAATTACTGCACTGTAAATGATAGTTCCTGCCTCTGATTGGATCGTATGCTTCATCGTACAGTGCCGTCTTTACGTGGACCAATCTTCTGGTGGTCGTGGTGGAGCTCAGTGGGTCCGAGCAGGAAGCTCTCGACCTGGTTCCCCTGGTCACTAACGTTGTGCTGAAAGAGCATCACCTCATCGTTGGTGTAGTGGTCATCGTGGACCCCGGCGTCATTCCTATCAACTCACGGGGCGAGAAGCAACGCATGCACCTGCGCGACTCCTTCCTGGCCGACCAGCTGGATCCCATCTATGTGGCGTACAACATGTGAGCCTGGAGTGGACTGAAGTGCTTAATGCTCAACGTGTGGCACCCAATGGTCCACTCACAACACATCTGTTCCTCTGTGCCATTAGCACACAACTGGGCACTGAGGAAGAAGCTGGCTAGGCCTCTTTCTGCCTCTGCGCTGAGCCTTGTACATATTTTTATGTTCTCTTCAATGTGATTGTGGCCTATTCGACCAATGGCGGTCACCCGGCTTAAGCCATCCAACCCTCCCTGGACATCTGGGAGGGTGGTGCTCTTCTTTTAGAACATATTTCTGCCCTTTAAAACCACATTTTCACAAGTTGCATTGACTTTGATGTCTAACTTTTGGTGCCACTTCCGAAATGCCTCTTCCATAGAGCAGCGCTTGTGCTCTCGCAGTGAGACCCGAGGGACTTACATGAAGCTTTTCTGCGCACTTTATCTCCTCTCCTGAGCTAGTGCTTAGAGGAGAGTCCTTCAGTTTTCATTCTGGAAGTGCTAACTTAGTTTTATGGATCAACGGTATCACCAGCAAAACAAACATATCTTCTTTTATTCGAAACTGCTAGTCGTTTTAATGGTTTTAAAATGAATGCACCACATTTTATTGTTGCATAAAGTTTTTTATTTTACCGACGTTGCCAACTATAATGCACATCATTAGTGAACTGTGGTGAGGAGGAATTTGTGGATTTGCCCTCACTGAAAGCACAGCAATTTTAACCGAATACATTTGTAACTTGACATCTTTATGCATTAAACGTGTATATCGAAGGTGACAGAAACCTCAAGATGAAGACATTTCCATGCCTAAAGTATGTTTCTGTCTTCATTTTGATTGTGTGTAAAGGGACTGGAAAGATGAATAGATGGAAGGTGTTTGTGTGTAGTCTATATATTGTAGTGTCTCACTGGTGTCACTGTATAAACAAATGGACCCAATTATCTGGTCCTACAAAAACTTGACTGACATTTCATACTTGATGGCAATTTTCAGCATAATTTGCTCAAGAACATAATGCAAAAACAATACAGATATTTTTACACATAACAGCAGTCACAAAATAGATCATTTTCAAGCTTAACATCTGTTTTGTCATTCTGTTTCTCGTAAGCCCTGTTCACGCCGAAACTGAGGTGGCCGAGTGTGAACCATGGTGTTGCTGCAAATCTCTGTCTGTGTGAACAACCCTTCAATGTTGAATGTTTGTTGAGAGAGTGTGGTTGAAAGTAAGAGTGTTTTAACCAAGGCTTTCCAACATATGGGGGAAAATAAGAGAATGTGAGATCTTTTCAATCCTAATAAAATGTATTAGCACCTAACTTGTCTATTTCAAAATGGCCTTAGATATCAAAATATTCTTTCTTCCTGCAGATTGTTTACATGTGAAATTCTGTGCAGCTCTTTTCTTTAACAATGCACACATTCTCATAACATTTTTTTTCTTTTTGTATTTTTAATTCTCATTTCTTAATTGTCAAAATATTGCTTGTTGGTGCAAAATGTATAAAGTTTTATGTTAATTAAATTTATTGTTGTCATCAATGAATCCTTTACTGTCTTTACTACAGTAACATCAGCTGAGCATTGTGCAAATAAGGAACAGTCGAATGAGCCTCACACCGTTTCTACACTAGATGAGACAGTGTGAGTAGAGCGAGCGCTTTTAACTACGTCAGAAATAGACCGGAGCATCAGTTTATTGTGGCAAATTTGTTGTGTTGCACCACGTCCGGATCTGCTTCGTCATGCGTGTCTGGTGTAGACAGAGTTAAAAGATATAGTGCTCTTCCACCTTTAAAATCAACCAATTCTGTGAGGAAAAGGTAAACAGAAATTATATTAATGACAGGAATCATTAAATAAAACCTACTGCAAGTTACAGGCTAAATTCAGATTTGTCCACCAGAGGTCAGAAATATCCTCTGATTCTTAATAATCACTGTAATTCTAATGTCAATACAATCATGACACATGTACACAAGTTTAAGTAGCCTTATATACAAAATAATATATATAATATGCACACAGGATAAATCTCAATAGGTGAAATTCAGAACTTGAAATTAGATAAATACATTTATAAGTATATAAGAGGAAATTAACAATTTATTACACTCAGAACTTGAAACTATATAATAAATGCACTACCTAACTGATTATGCACACAGAATAGAGTGAGAAATCCAGTTTGATTTCAGCGAAATGTTATATTTGTTTGAAGCTCAATCCAATAATAGAGGGTTGAGACTTTCAAATAAATATTTGGTCGGTTAGGTTCTCCACATGAAGTGGCCTTTACTCGAATTCCAATCAAATAGTAGTGCTGCTCAATACTGAAATAGAAGTTCAGTGCACCACCCAGATTTGTCTGCAGGTTTTAACATAAGGCTTAAGGTCACATAATGAGTAGCTTAACTCACTCCAAAAATCACGGTTCCTACGCATTTTTCAATTTCAAAATAAATAAATAAATAAAATTGCAACATCTACAGTCAGCCACTATTGTAAACATATCTGCAGTGTCTACTCACCACCAGGTTGAGCGCTGTATCCTTTGATGTGACAGGAACCAAATTTGTTCATCAACAGCATTATCGGGCAGACAGATGGGATAGACAAACTTATTAAACACAAAAGGGGTCTCCATTTTAAAAAGAGCAATACTGTAATGCAAAGTGACAGGATTGAAATTTTTGTGTTTGATAATTCTGGCGACTTTTGACTTCTGTGTGAACCCATCATCAACATCCAATCTACTGCTTCCTGCTCGGATCAACAGTTTGCTATGGGAGAAAGTGCAACAACACTGCGTGAGTAAGTAGAGATCGTAACTTATGTGTCTGGCTGTTTAGGATTAAAGTGGACCTATTACCTGATTTGTGAAACACAACAAACACTGAACCGGATGTGCATTCTACTTCCATGAAATATGCCAATGGGCCGCCGTACCTCTGGCAGTACGTTCTCATTTCGCGTTTTTTGTTCTCAAGTTCGGTATTTCAAACGTTTTTTTCAGGCGGATCCAGATGAAACAAATCTCAACATTTTTAGATTGCAGAATGTGACAAGAATCAACCAATCAGCCTTCACCCTTTTCGTAACAACAGGCTTGTTTGAGATGCGCCTTGCCTCGCCTGAAATGTATACTGTGTCCCAATTCGCTACATACTAACTACGTCCTAAAAGTATGTACTTTTTTTGTGTAGAAAAATACTTTTGAGTGTGTAGCAAAAGAGTATGCAAGCTTTGGGACATACTACCAGAGAATGTCTGAAGAGAATTGGCACTGGCTGGTTACTTCCGGTTTCTGGACTGGCTGCAGTAACACGTCTCTGTCCATGCGGGGGCGCTCGCGGTCGAGTGCAGAATGAATGCGAGTCAATGGGGTTTCACCCCCAGAAATCCACTTTTCTCAGGATGTAATTTTTTGTTAAGTAATTTGAAAGTTGCATTCAAAAGGGAGGGCTAAGATAATACACTCAGCTGAAAATTGCATTTTTAAGTTCACTTATCTGTTCTAAAAATCCGTTCAAAAATGTGATGACGTCACACAATAGCAGAATGCTAGCGTGTTCTGGCCAACAATGGCCTAACCTGTAAGAAATCAAAAGGACATAAGTACTCGTTCATTCGACTTTTGGCCTATAATCTATATTGAACTTGCGGAATCAGCAATAAAATCTATGGTGATTTAACGACAAGCAGGTGAAAGAGACACATTTAGCCGTTTAGCCCCATAGACTCCCATTCATTCTGCACTCGCCCGTGATCGCCTCCAGTGGAATTCTAATGGAACTGCAACCAAGATGATACACAATTGGGCTAATAGGAAGTGCCAAGGCTCTCCGTTAGACGGGCTCTGATACTACTTCGCCATCTTTAACGGACCGCTCTGTCGCGTGCGTCACGGTAAACTGCTATGTCAATCAACTCGTCACAGTAAAAATCCTTCATTCAATCTAAGTTAATTTCTTACGGTTTCAGAGAGAAATGTCATTGCACTTTCATCTGCCAGTCATAGGTCTTTCATGCCGAGACTCTCCTCATGTGTTTGGAATTTGGATATAATAATGCATTTAAATTGAATTGCTAAACGTATCTTTGCAAATACATTTTCGCCAGGTTAGATTCTGATAATTAATAATCACTCAAACCCATTTATCTAAACCTCTCTACATAACCGTCGGACTCGCGAGTCCTCCATGTCTGTAGTTTTCACTCTTTTCACTCGTGTTTGTAGTTCTAACCGAACGCTCGTCCAACGCGCAATGGGTTGTGGGCAATATCAGCTGTTGGAGTGTGCGTCGATCTGTACTTTGGATTCTGACCGGAAATAGTAGACCATCCGGGTCTCTTTGGAGCACTAATTTCAACATACTATGATTTGGGTCGTACTAATTCTATTTTCGAATACTATTTAGGACGGATAGTATGCGAATTGAGACTCAGCTATAGTCGAGATTAGGCGGATGCAGTGAGCACTGTTGCCAACTATTTTCTAAGGAAAGTAAGGTCTTCCCTAAAAGTCGCTTGATGACGTCACACACTAATTAGCATATTAATGACGTCACCTCGTTGTACTTGCATTCTGTCAGCCTAGTGAGTTTTCTCTCTAAATTAATGCTCTATTTAATATGATATAGCCGAATGTCAAATAAAGCTGTTTTCATTTCCTATCTTTTTTTGTTGTCAGACAATAGAACGAGTAGCTATAATATAGTGAATGATTACATTTTTTATAGGCCTATGTGGAACATTATCCACATTGTCTTCCATACAAACAGTACCTGAATCTTTCTGTGTAGATCAAAGTAGAAGGTGCAAAAAACATGAAAGTCTTTTTGAACAACTCTGTCCAGGCTTGAGGTACATTCAATGAAATAGTTTTCTGGGACCTAAAGTTACTAGCCACCCAGCATTTTTTACTAGCCACAATTTTGACATCGATACCTTGGGGAAAATCCTCCATATAGATATTTTTATTGTTATCATAATTTGGCAACAGATATATTAGGTTGCTGTGACTTTAAGAGCTGACTCACAGATTCATTATACTGTTACACATGCGTTTTCTTTCTCAACTGTTTACATTCTGTTTACATCATAACTGACTGTGTTTTTGTGAATACTCGTCAATATAGCCAAACCATCATTTGAGAGAGATTTTATTTAAAATGGGGGTAAAGCTGCAGAGATGTTCTGGCATTTGATGGGGCATGGCTCACAGTAACAGGCCCATCCAGGCAGAGAAAAACAGGGCTGAGAATAATTTAAAAACTGTCAGATCTGTGACTGAGGCAGCAGATACAGATCTTGTTTGAGCTTCGCTCAGCCAGACTGTGTACCGACTAGCACGAGTATATATGCCAGGTTTCTTTGGCAATCCACAGTCCGCTCCATGACTTGTCACACCATAAAGGTAAAATCTCTTCATGTCTTGGCTGTAACACTGTAGAGGGCCTCCGCTGTCACCCTTGATCGAAGAGTATTCCAACAGATATTGTTAATCACTGTCTATCACTGACCAGTTACTCTGAAATCTGATATAATGAGATGACATACCTGACATGTGTCAACACCCCCTTTGTCAAATCCTGCACAGATCATGTTGTCATTAACATGGCCATTATACCAGCTTCTCTGGTTGCAGATTCCAGTATCAATGAGCTCAACTTCAGCTTCCTGAAGAGTGTCAACTAACATTCCTTAAAATACAATAAAATGTTTTAGAGATTCTTTTTTTTTTTGATCAAGAAATAAGCATAATTCTAAAATCTCATCAAAAATCAATAGGAACAATCTTTAATAGGCTAACTTAAAAAAAAAAAAAAAAAAAGGAGAACTGATTATACAAACTCATTAAAACAGTTTAACTGCCAGAAAGATGCCAAAAATAGAGCTCCTCTCTGATAATATATTACACATTCTGCTGGTAATCTTAATCGTCTGGTAATAATGGAGAGATTTTGAGTTTTGGACTGTTTTTGGATATTTAAACTCTAACCTTGTAACACTGAGCTGCCCCAACCAGTGATGTAACATGAGCCAAAGCTGAGTTGTTTCTCGTCCATTTCATTTTCAATCATACACAAAGGCTGCACATGATTTGTGAAATGCAAAGAGTGATGCAGATGCAATAGTGCCACATCGTTTTCAAAATATGATCGGTTGAACTTCTCATGCAGGATCACTTGCTGAACTGAGCGATACTGGACACCCTTTTCTCGCGTGGATCGAGAATTCACTCCAGCCACTACTTGTAGTTTATAGTTGTTACTATAAAAGAAAGATGCAAAAGATGGATGCGAAATGAAGTTGCTTTTATTGTTTTAGGCATTTTCTGGGTGTGTAAAAATGTTTGGTGTAGTAAGTAGACTACATTCAATGCTAATTTAAAAAAAATATGCATAGGTATAATGAACTGAACCATTACTGCAAGTAACATTAGGCCTATATCATTTTAGAGCAATTACCTACTCTTGCTTATTTAACTAAATGTGCATAATTTGTCTACTACATTATATGTCAACTATTGAAATGATGTCTGAGACCTTTGTATTCATCTATGAAACATCTTGGAAATGTTCCTATGTAAATGTACTTTTATTTTGAAAGTTAAATCCTGAGAGAAAATTGACGCTAATTGAGTAATTATGTACAAAAGCTGGGCATAATAAGCATAGTCTTCAGCTTACACCTTTTTTTTGGTTATGCATGCATGATATATGTAGGCCTATATCTGTGCAATGATTGAAAATAAATTGAAATAGAAAATTGAAAATATATGCTCAGATGTATCAAATGTATCACTTGTTTGCTTCTGCAAACCAAAACCATTGCTGAAAGGTAAAATAATGAGATGTGGAAACTCCACACGAATGTTATATGTTATGAGGGAGGAGAATCACAAAGTGCTCACCTATTTCTGAAGCAGTGGGATGCTGTGATTATCCACCGATGGCTTATGATGGACCCACCACAGATATGCCTCGACATCCTCTGTATGCTCACCTGCCAAGGCCATGCACCTTTTAATGCAGAATGGCCTCCTGCAATTCGAAACGGCTTTGATGGACCCTGCAAAGTTCGCTCTCCACAACCTTAAAAGAGCATTATAGTCAGTTGCACTGAACACTTTGGATCACTTTTTTGTGCCATAACCACTGATGATACCACTGTCTGTACATAATATTAACCCATTTAGCCAGCAGCGACATTTAAGGCTAAAACTGTGAAAATGTTTCTTTGCGTTTTGATGCATGTAATATTTAAAAGGTCTTATAATGTATTTAGATGTCTCTGTCACAAATTGAGGCATAGGAAGAACGATTTTAATAAGTATTGATTGAATTGCATCATAAAATTGTAGAATTTAAATGGAAAAAATAAACATTTATCTTTGTATTATCAGTTGTTTTGTTTTCCCAGAATTGCCTGATGATATAAATAAATATTACATTATATGATACCTTTTAATTTTTGACTCCCATTGATTACAATTTGTGACCATAAACAACAGACATACTTTCCACTAACGTTTTCTGAAATGTTGTTTTTTAAAAAAAGTATGCAGTTTGTACATCTCTGGGATTAAATGAATGAATAGCCTAATAATAATAATAATAAAATACCTGCAATCCCAGAAAGCAGCGTGCTACTAATGAAGACTAATTGTAGAGCCGTTTTAAACATTTTAAATGTGAAGCAAAACGAGAGAGAAAGAAGACAGATATAGAACTATCGGGTGTCCTTGTCATTGATTATTAGGTAGACTAATCTGAAAAGATTAAGTGACGTAACATCGTTCATAGCCTACTGTGAAAATGTCATGAAAGAAGAACATGACGAGGAAGAACATGCAAATCAACATTTTCAAATCTTTAGGCTACTTTAAATGCAGATAATAGCATCCGTGTTTTATACAGTACATACATACCACCAATTTCATGACATACCTATGCTGTAAAATGATTGTAAACGTCATCCTTTAGAAACTAGCTACAATTAGAAACAGCCATTAGACGAATTGCATGCGAGTGTGTCGCTCATAATAATACACCAAGCCAACGAGCTATTTATTTTATTCAGCGTGGGATAATTTCAAACACAATTGTGGCTGTGTAGGCTATTTTTGATTCAGACATTATAGCTACACGGTATCAATCGTCATTCCTGAAACGCCTCATTCTCGAACAAGGACCTAACTGGGATTCAATGAAACAGAACTGAAATTGACGCCTTTTATTGTGGAACTGGTGGTAACGTTACCTATTGGCCGACACTCCCTTACTGCTGGGAGTCACCAATATGCAGGGTAACGGTGCACACTGAAGGAAGGTAGCAGCAACAATATGGCGACATCCGCAATTGCTTCCGAATTTATTCGACATCTGCAGTGCAGTGAGGATTTTTTGGATACCCGTTAACGTAATCATAGTGAGTATTGTGTTTCAATATCGCTCTCGCGGTGTTTATTCCGTGCGATGGAAGTCCTTACACTGTCAGTGAATGTCGCAGAGATGCTGCACGCTGAGGGGGTTTTACTGCTGGACGCTCCTCGCAAAAGGCACATTCGCCTTTTATTCCCTTATAACTGAAATGACGTTTTATAAACTCACCATTTTTGTTGTGATTAGACATTTTCATTTCCCCCTCTCAAATTACATGTCATGATATGAAACACAATTCTTCCAATGTTATATATATGTGGTGTGTTATAGCCTTGCATGATCAATGCCGTGATCTGTAAGCCTTGTAACGTTACCCTCAGATGAATAAAGGTCTTATTGTCAGCAGCAATCAAATGTCAAGCTAAGCAAATGAGAAAAAAAAAATACATTTGTGGACAGGTTTTAAATGATTCGTTGTAATTAAGACGTTCAAATGACAACATGCTTGGCTGCTTATTGATTGTAGGGTGGACGCAGGTTGCACGGGTGTGGAATGCTACATTTTCTTGTTTATGTTCCTCGCGAGCAGAAACCTTGCACAACATCGTCGAGATATCGCTGTTTTCTAATAACTTTTCGCTTTCAAACCGGATTATATGACTGAAACATGTTTGCGCTGTTTGTATAAAGGGTAAATACGGCGAGAGAGCGAGAAGAAGAAAAAAAAAACACTGCAGTATTTTCCGTTTTTCCTTCGTGGCTTCGGCCCGCTTTCGTGAAGGTGTCGGAGTGTTTATAAACGTTAGTTTTCAGGCAAAATTGTTTTCTGACACAGAGGAAGATGTGACAACGTTTCGGAAAACGCAAAGACTTTGTTCGTGAAACCGTTGTGCTGCTAAGCCATGGATTTCGTGACCAAACATTGCTGAAATAAGGTAGGACCACTGCGCATTCAATCACATAATACAACTTGACGTTTTTAAAATAAGGTTATGGTTTGTTTGAAGGAATTGTAGTTACAGAGATGTATGTGCGAATAGCCTGCATCATTTATTGACAGGTATTTTGCATATGAAGACATTAAGGTGTCGCTTTGATGTAGAAGAGAATTCTGTGGCGCACAGAAGCACGAAAGACATGATGAAAATGAATCCATAATTTTATTCATAATGCTTCTTAAATGTACCCATCTCCTCACATCTGCACATAAACTGACATTTTCTAAAGCTGTCATGTGTTCACGGTTAGGCCAGCATCTTCTTCTGGTAACGTTATTTCTAGACGTTTCGGCCCACCTCGTTCAACAGATACGGATTCCCTCACACCATTTTTATAACTTCATAAATTGACTCCATATCCTTTATCTATTTAGCACTGTAAAATTTCAAATGATTTAATTCAAGGCATAGAGATATTTGAGTTTTCTGTTAACTGTCTTGGAACACTACTGTTTAACCAATCTGAAGGTGAATACAACATTTCTACAGCTAATAAAAATCTTGCCCTTTTTATGTTGTGGTGCTGATAGGACAGCTCCTGTAAGTAAGTTGCCATTGTTTGTGCTGTTTGGACCACAAAAGCCCAGCTTGTTTCACCAATAAGACTAATGAAAGGGTGCTTTGATTTGTTTAGGATAACGTTAATCATTTCTTTTGTTTTCCTGTTTCATTGCTTGACTTGCTGAGAGAGAAAAAGATCAACTTAAACTAGCCTAAGCTGGTCTTCCTGCCTGACCAGGTAGAAAGTGCCAACAACCCCTTTAAAATCTGCCAATAGACCAGGTAAGGCCAACAAACCAGCTCAGGCTGGTTTAAGCTGCTTTTTGCAGCAGGTCTTGAAATGATATCAGATCTATATACCCAAGGGACTTGTGCCCCTGACGGTGTCTGTTATGTCACATTCTTTGATATTTTGTTCACGTGTCTGATTTGCTTGATTTACTTCAAAGGCAGACTGGAAATGCCAAACACCATTTATGAAACAAAACTGTGGAATTGGACGGAGAGAAAGGCTAAAAGTGAGTTAAGTAGCTATGTAATATCAGGATATGGCTTGTTTAAGTGTCTGGCCCATAAATGCACACAAGCTTTTAGATGGTGTGGTTCACCACGCCTCCCTTCACCCACCCCATATCCTATGCTTCCTATTCCTTTTTCCTATTCCTATGATGCCTTAGGGACATAACGCATGTCCCAAATCGACATCTCAGTAGAGATTTTGTTCATAGGGAAGACAGGTTCAGATAAAATCTGCTTGTGCTAATGTGGGATCTTCTAATCCAGTTTACATCCTCCCTGAACCCTTTCATCTAAAATAGAAACATCCATCACAATGAGTCAAAAGAACCATACCATGTGTAGCAAATGCAACATATAATAATATACATAAAATGTATTAAGGGGGGCCGAAGGCCAATTTAGCTCAAAGGGAAATGATTCATTGATTTGCAATGAATCTATGGAACCGAATCACTGAACCGAGCAAATGACTCGCTTAGAGTTCATTTGAACGGGCCGTAATTATAACCAAATCTATAGTGAAACACTATGTCTTAGCAAGGTAACTTTAAATCGAACAGTACAAGACATTAAATGTGCAAACACGACACAAGAAGATTTATCTTTTCAAATATATGGACAAGACTTTATTAGCTATTCTAAGCACAAACTAAGGTCTAAACATAATCACGCACACACACATTCATACAGTCGCGAAAGGGAAAGAGTGAGTTGGAAAGAGTGAGGGAAAGTTTCAACTTTCTATATGCACGTAAGACATAACCTGAAAGGACCACCAAGCATTAATTTGAACCTTCATTTCTTAGAGAGGTTATTCAATTAACATTAAAGCACCAGTTCAGTTAGAGCTTGGAGTACTTGCGCTTTGTAGTGGCTGAGGGAATTCCCTTTGTCTGCGTCGCATCGAAGGGGGGTTTCCCGGCCGGGTCCGTTGCGTGGTTTGTTGTCTTTGAAGTGCAGGGATGGAAGTTTCGCCGCTGGTCACGTGTGATTAGCAAGCGAATGAGAGTCTTTTCCAGTTCGAAGCGCGTTGCAAACTTAACTTTGAAACGAGACTTTTACGAAAAAGGAAATAAAGGAAAGAAATGAAAGTAAGACGAGTCGGATGGCTTGACTGAGCTGAATTGTAACCCTGATCTTGATGGGTTATTCGTCTGCTGGTCGAATTTGGTCTAGTCGATGTAGAAGCATGTGGACATGTTCTTTGTTTCAGAGATAAGCACGAACAGAACACTCTCTTGCTGGTTTTAGAGAGAGGCACGGACTTAACAGTTACAGAACAGAACAAAAATCACCTGAAATCTTCTAAAATCTACAAAAATCTCATCTTGAGGTCCTTTGTTCGGATCTTTAACTTAAACTCTAGTCCATCCTCCTAGAAACTTCAGGCCAATGGGTAATGGCATGATCTCAGGAGGTGGATCTACTTCTTTACTTATCATAATTTATGCATGGTCTGTGAGCTGGTCTCCAGCACTTAGCAGAGACAAAAGACCATCGTTTTAACCTTATGATAATTATAATCATAAAACAAAACCTTTTACGCAGATTTCAATCAAGCCATCTTTTGAATTACGAGAATACGGTTTGTTTAAGAGCAAACGAGGCATTCACACTTCTAATGGTTGTATAACAATTACAAGAGTTAATAGTTAACAACAATTACATGGTTATTATGTGATCTAAGCATAATAACACATGAAGTGTAGGAACAACAACAATTATGATTGGTTATAGGTCCAAGAATTGTTCTGTGGTGAGTTTATATGATTTTATGTGTGAGATCTTCGATCTCAACCGTAAGGTTACTGAGAGTTCAACTCGAAGGGGGACGAGGCAAAGGTGTTCTGTGGAACATCTCTGTCAGGGCATCAGAGGGGTCTTTGATGTGAGATCTCGTTCCACCATTTTGGAGCTGATTTGTCTTAGTTAAAATTACCATATTGACACGTTCGTCCTGTTTAGTGCCCATCTCTTGGGCCTGTGGGGCAATAAAAGTCCTTATCTGCAGACAGCACGGAGTCGTTCCGTGACTCTGGAATGTGGGCTCCAGAACTTGGAGTGTTGAAGCCATGTGAATTAATCCCATGAGAGATCAATTTGATTAAGTTGTGTTTGATTCGCCTCGATTCTCTACATATTCCCCCCTCGATCGATGATGGGTTGAGAAGAAGACATCATTGAACGCTGGAGAAACAGAAGAAGAAGCAAACACACACAGCAAACAACAAGGCAACTCCTCCATGACTGGTCACTTTACTGGTGCAGGGCATTAGGTTATCTAGGCCTAACGAGTTCACTCTCTCAATATAGTCAATTATGTGGTAAAAGTTTAGTTCAATTTTAGGACCGTTATTCTAGTTTGTGTTAAACGGTGATTGATCAACTTTGTGACTAAATTTGATTTGTTTGTTTTATCTACTTCTAAATTGTTCTAGGTTTAGACCAATTTACCTTCCAAATTTTGATTCGAATGATGCAGGGAGTTCTCTGGCTAACATTCGTTCTAAGGTGACTTGCAAACGTCAGGCGTGGTGCGTCAATCCTTATATTGTAACCTTGACCCTTATGGGGTAAAAGGGATTTTACCTAATAAGAGAAGAAGGGAAGGAAGAGGTAAAACAAAACAAAGCAGTTGAGTGACTCCAGTATGGGTACTGTGATGCAGTGACAGGTGTCAACATGTAATGAGAGGTGTTATACTTGTTGGGTGTATCGCTATATGTTTCCTGTGGTGGAAAGGTTAGCTAATACAATGAAAAACATGTTTGTTGAATGTTTTCATGGTAGATGTGTTTAACTTGTGTATGTCAGTACAGTGTAGTGTAGTGCATGTACTGTATGTATGCTGTATGTATGTCAGATCTGTCTCAGTCTGTTTTGCTCCCCCCTTTGCTTAATGGCTTAGCTTTGATGAGCTTGTCGCATCTTTGCCTTGGAAAGGGATCTTCTGTGATCTGATGGGGGGTCAGTACAGTAAGGCAGGAAGTTCTCTGGCAGACATTGGGAGGTGGTTTGGCACGGATGCGTGAAGCTGTAGTGCAAAACATGGTCTCCTTGTTGCATTCCACTTGTGATGCCTTCTGGTTGTGACAGACAGTCTGACTTCTGTGCTTACTGGTGTTGCGGCAGCACACAGATGGTTCTTGAGTTTGGAGCTTGTGGTGTGATGGGTAACCAGGATGGTGTTTTCTGGTACCTCTGGGTGTTTGTCAGTGGTTGACTGTGAGAGGCCACTTTGTTCTGTGTTGTTGTAGAACAGGTGGACGTCTCAGGAAGGTGTGCAAGGTGATCACTGGTCTTCTGTGTTCAGCTTGTCTTTGAAGAACACTTGCAGTCGACTCAGTAGTCGCTCCATGTCCTCTGAGGGGAGACTGTCGTGTTCTTGGACACACTCAGTGTGGTGTGGAGGTGGGTTTCGTTGTCGCTTACCCACATAGAATGCTTTTGGATGCACTCGTTGATTCCAGTTGTTTCCTTCTGGTGGGTCCCATGACTTTTCCACGTGGTTGGAGTGGTCGCTGTCGTTAGCATGGGAGTAGCATTCTCTGTGCTCCTGATGAAGGACTGTGGCGTTGTCATGCCACTGGGTGTCTTCCAGTGCAAGGCTTGTGTCTTGGCTGCTGGAGTTTGACACTGTGGATGTTTTCAAACCTTTCTTGGAAGTCATCTTTTGTTTGATGTAGGCCTTGTGTGTCAGGTCACGTAGCTGTTGAAGCGTCATGGTGACTGGGCAGGCCATGATGCCGAGATGACGACTCAGTCCTGGATGCAGGTTTCTCAGGAAGAGGGTTTTGAAGTTCAGATCCTCTTCAGATTCAGGTTTGCTATGTGCACCGAAGTAGGCTTGTCGGAAACGGTGATAATAGGCTTGGGGAGTCTCTTGACGACCTTGTCTGGTTTCCAAGGCGACTAACACACCATGTTCTGACTCTGGACTTGTAAATTCTTTAATCAGGATCTCACGTAGCAGCTGGTAGTTTGACTTGACATGAGCAGGTTGTCGGTCTAGGACGCTTCGTACCTCTTGACTGGATGTGGATCTGAGGAGGTATAAAATGTCTCTGTCAGTCATATGTGGTCTCACCTCTAGGAGGAAGTCGATATCTTGGAGGTAGGCCTGGATGCAGTGGCCCTCCGTGGAGTTCGGGTCGAACTGGGTGATGTTCTTAGCCAGCTGGTTGAGATCTTTGAAGGTCATTCCAGTTGCAGCTTTGGAGTCTGGCTGGATGATCTCTCTTTGTTGGTTGGCAGGGAAGAGTTCTGTGGTGAAGGCCGGTGACGTTTTGGGGTGTGGCCATTCACTTCTTCCGTAGGATGACAGTTCTTGGATGGAGGACTCTGTTCTGCTCAGCAGTGATGATGCTGAGGGAGGTCTCTCCCTTCTTGGCTCTGGTTTCTGTGTAAAGACATGTTGGAGTTCATTTCTGACCGCGTAGAGCTCGTCGTTGGCGTCGTCTCGCTGTTGGGTCAGATGGTCAATTTCAACGCTGCACCTTCGCAGGTGGTCTTCCAGAGCAGTGAGTTTAGAGTTCTTACTTTCAATGTCAGCTTTGGCTTTCTCTAGCTGATGTTCAGCAGACTGGAGTTGGTTTTCCAGGTGCTTCTGGACAGTCTTTAACTCTTGTTTGTCACGTTCAGTGACTGCAAGGGCTTCTTGGAGCTTGTCAACTTGGGTCTTTGTTTCATGCTCCGCTTCGTCGGACGCTTTGAGCTGGTCTTTGCAGTGTTGAGTGTGCGTCAGCTCTCTCAGGAACTCGGTGGTCTTGAGGTCGTCCTGGACTTTCACTTCCAGCTTGTCTATGCGGCTTTGGGCACGTGTCAGCTCCTCCTGAAGGTGGGTGACGTGCTGGTGGCTTAGCTTTAGCTGGGCTGTGAAGGCATTGCTTAGGGAACAGGTTATTTTGGTTAGTTCCACATGGCTTTGGTTTTGGCTTGAATCATGTGTCAGGAATCTTCTCAGGATTATGATTATTATTAAAAATAATAACAGTTCAATTGTCTTTGGTGTGAGGCAGTCTGTAATGCCTCTGAGCCAGGCATCCATGTCTTCCCGTTGGGCAGTGGGGTTTGTTGTCCACGACATGTTGGCACGCTCGGTGAAGAGACTGACACAGATCTGTGTGGTATAAGCCTATATGTGGTTGCACGGCTGAGTGTAGTTTCAGTAAGTGTGCACCAATAGTGAAGTGTCGTGATGACTAAATGTTGGTCTAAGTGTACACAGTGAGGCTAGGGATGTGAAGATCTCGTCACTCAACTGGGTAAAGGAAAGAAAAAGAGAGAGGTTAAAACAAATCTCAGATGGAAATAGCTTTTTTTTCAATGGAAGAAAATATTTTTGTAAATATTTTCTATCACTGGAAAGCTGGTTTCAACTCGTGATGTGAGGACTTCGTCACTCAACTGAGTAAGAGAAGAAGAGAGAAAAGTTAACAACCAATTTCAAATGAGAGAGAAACGAAACAAAAGGAAATTATTAACTAGGGAAAGTATTAATTTCTCATAAATGTTTCTATCAATGACAATCTGTTTCCAGAAAGGTAAACAATATTTTTGATTATGTTTGCAATGAAAAATAATACAATAATAATGCTGATACCTCTTTTCTGAGTTTGACAGGATTGACACACACACCTTCGGTTGGACCGCTTACAGCAGGGCTTACAGCAGGGATGCTTTGAAGGCGGAGTTTGCTCAACACTTGTCTCTGTTAATTAATCTTGGATAAGATGTCAAAGTTTAAATTGCGTTTACAAATGCAGGGAGAGTGAGAAGAACACAAGAGGGTTTGATTAAAAATCAAATACCTAATAATCTGTTTGGGAAAGATTATCTTTGTCTCTTTTTAGAGTTGGTTGATGGTTCTTCCAGGTTTGTTCCCTACAAATGTGCAAAATTAGATGGAATAAAGCAGGACAGAACAGGAAAGATGTGATGAGGAGGAAATGAAGCAAGGAGGTTGGATCCCGCTACCTTTAGATCTACTACGAGTATAGAATTGATAGTTGATGAACAACTAAACACACAAATAAACTTTGTAAAAGACGATTGTCTCTGGTTTATTTGAAACTCGTATTGAGATGGTAATGTCTCCTATTGAAGCGTCACGCAAATGAATTATTCCAATATAGTGGTTAAGTTTATAACCAACCAGACGAAAGGATAAAGCGCAATGACAATAATAAGCAAATCTGAGTCTAACACTATTTTTGTAATAGTAATAACGACTTTCCAAATTTTAACTTTCAGAGTTCTTAAGTTTCAAAACTAATTCACCTAAAGTGATTGGATCTCAAAGAGAAATGTAAAAATTATGAAAATTATGCAATTAGAATTATTACAAAAATAAATCTAAAAATCATTAGAAATGATCTGTTTAGAAAGGTAGAATCTCAATTTTGCAATTTCTTGTTCTTTTAAAATCAAATTCGAAATTTGACAATTAATAATCATAAACCAGTATTTTCTTTTTCAAGTAAAATGCAGGTAAAACAATTAATAATGGTACACCAGTATTTTCCTTTCAGGAAAAATATGGTTAACTTTAAAGAAAAGTGTGATAAAGTTAAAAGAAGAAACAAGAAAAGATCGATAGGTGTCTAAATGGTTAAATCGCTTTAACGTTGTTCAAACAGACACTATAGCTAACCGCTGGGGTTAGTATTGATAATAGTAACTGATGCTAAAGGCTTTAGCACAGGCCTCAATGCAAACAACCGCTCAGCTTTAGCTTAGCCTAGCTTAGCTTAGCGTAGCGTTTGTTTGGTTTGTTTACAAAGTTCGAGGGGGTCAGAGTTCACCCGGAAGTGTTGGTTAAGACTTCCGTGTCACGATAGCAACTAAAGCGATCAAGCGAACGCTAGTGGGCGAACCGTGAATTGCAGTTGGTCAGTTTGTTAGAGTTCCATGCAATGTGAGCGCATTTCCATGTTCACAGAACATGTACAGTAACAATCGACCATATTACGGGAAATGTCGGCGCATTTCACACTGTTCAAATAAAATACACCACTCGTAGCTGGGTTTACGACATGGGGCTTCACTCAGTTTGTTGAGAGTGATAACTTTAAGCACGCGGCGGTGCGCTGTATGAGAACGATGATCTCGTCTCTGTCTAACTAAGTAACAGGGTCTAACTTGGTTCAGTTTCTAAACAAGCTTTACTTGGACAAAACTTAAAATAAGTCCTATTCAATTACACTCGGACACGCGCAGTGTTTACACGATAAATAATTGAATAGACATACACAGAAAAGCATTAACTTTAACGTTAACTGTTTATCACGGGGATCACGGATAGTGGGACACGCACTGGTGATCAAATAAAATAAACAGATAAGCATTAAGTGTTTATCACAATGGAACACGCACTGCGATCAAACAAATAAACAGATAAGCATTAAGTGTGTATCGCGGAGATCACAATGGAACACGCACTGCGATCAAATAAAATAAACAGAAAGCATTAAGCATTTATCACGGAGAAGCAATGGAACACGCACTGCGATCAGATAAATAACTTTAAGGCTTTTATGACTAGATTCGACAAGGAACACGCTTGACGCTCTGTCAGGAAAATATTGTAACTTACAGGGTTAGTTTTAATTACTGCAGTTTGATTTCGTTCGGCTTCTCTGACTGATATAAACACACACACACAACGTTATAGCTCTCTGAAAGACTCTGGAACACGCAGATGTCGATCAGCTATAACGAGGTATTTTTCTGGAAATAAGGAACACGCTTAATTCCTACCTTATTGTAGTGTGAGGTTTTATATCTTATGCAGGTATAAAGAAAACAAAATAGGCGACAGACTAGACTTCTCAGCTTTCTCTGGGAGCTTCACTCACAGATAACAGCAGCAGCAGCATTCAATCGTGCGCGCGGCGCATACGTCACACACAGACTCGCGGAGGTTCGGATCTCGCATCCGCAACCAAAAATGAAAAGATAACTTCTTGATATATGTTCACAATTTAGGTTGAACTGCCCGCATTCTCCACCAATATGTAGCAAATGCAACATATAATAATATACATAAAATGTATTAAGGGGGGCCGAAGGCCAATTTAGCTCAAAGGGAAATGATTCATTGATTTGCAATGAATCTATGGAACCGAATCACTGAACCGAGCAAATGACTCGCTTAGAGTTCATTTGAACGGGCCGTAATTATAACCAAATCTATAGTGAAACACTATGTCTTAGCAAGGTAACTTTAAATCGAACAGTACAAGACATTAAATGTGCAAACACGACACAAGAAGATTTATCTTTTCAAATATATGGACAAGACTTTATTAGCTATTCTAAGCACAAACTAAGGTCTAAACATAATCACGCACACACACATTCATACAGTCGCGAAAGGGAAAGAGTGAGTTGGAAAGAGTGAGGGAAAGTTTCAACTTTCTATATGCACGTAAGACATAACCTGAAAGGACCACCAAGCATTAATTTGAACCTTCATTTCTTAGAGAGGTTATTCAATTAACATTAAAGCACCAGTTCAGTTAGAGCTTGGAGTACTTGCGCTTTGTAGTGGCTGAGGGAATTCCCTTTGTCTGCGTCGCATCGAAGGGGGGTTTCCCGGCCGGGTCCGTTGCGTGGTTTGTTGTCTTTGAAGTGCAGGGATTGGAAGTTTCGCCGCTGGTCACGTGTGATTAGCAAGCGAATGAGAGTCTTTTCCAGTTCGAAGCGCGTTGCAAACTTAACTTTGAAACGAGACTTTTACGAAAAAGGAAATAAAGGAAAGAAATGAAAGTAAGACGAGTCGGATGGCTTGACTGAGCTGAATTGTAACCCTGATCTTGATGGGTTATTCGTCTGCTGGTCGAATTTGGTCTAGTCGATGTAGAAGCATGTGGACATGTTCTTTGTTTCAGAGATAAGCACGAACAGAACACTCTCTTGCTGGTTTTAGAGAGAGGCACGGACTTAACAGTTACAGAACAGAACAAAAATCACCTGAAATCTTCTAAAATCTACAAAAATCTCATCTTGAGGTCCTTTGTTCGGATCTTTAACTTAAACTCTAGTCCATCCTCCTAGAAACTTCAGGCCAATGGGTAATGGCATGATCTCAGGAGGTGGATCTACTTCTTTACTTATCATAATTTATGCATGGTCTGTGAGCTGGTCTCCAGCACTTAGCAGAGACAAAAGACCATCGTTTTAACCTTATGATAATTATAATCATAAAACAAAACCTTTTACGCAGATTTCAATCAAGCCATCTTTTGAATTACGAGAATACGGTTTGTTTAAGAGCAAACGAGGCATTCACACTTCTAATGGTTGTATAACAATTACAAGAGTTAATAGTTAACAACAATTACATGGTTATTATGTGATCTAAGCATAATAACACATGAAGTGTAGGAACAACAACAATTATGATTGGTTATAGGTCCAAGAATTGTTCTGTGGTGAGTTTATATGATTTTATGTGTGAGATCTTCGATCTCAACCGTAAGGTTACTGAGAGTTCAACTCGAAGGGGGACGAGGCAAAGGTGTTCTGTGGAACATCTCTGTCAGGGCATCAGAGGGGTCTTTGATGTGAGATCTCGTTCCACCATTTTGGAGCTGATTTGTCTTAGTTAAAATTACCATATTGACACGTTCGTCCTGTTTAGTGCCCATCTCTTGGGCCTGTGGGGCAATAAAAGTCCTTATCTGCAGACAGCACGGAGTCGTTCCGTGACTCTGGAATGTGGGCTCCAGAACTTGGAGTGTTGAAGCCATGTGAATTAATCCCATGAGAGATCAATTTGATTAAGTTGTGTTTGATTCGCCTCGATTCTCTACACATGGGAAGTGACAAACATTAAGTATCACCTTCATCTGCTCATAATGGAGGGTGCTTTTCATTTTTCATGAAGTTGATGACTCATCCTGGATCTAGTGCCAGTCCCTCTTTAACATGCTCTCAATTTAGCAACAGATTGTTTTGATGTGTAAGGTAATATTTTTAGATGCAAGGCTTAGCGTTTTACTTTCCTGCACAGAGCTCAACATATCAGTTTGTGTGAGTGGGTGATGT